AATTGCAGAGATGTTCAAGCACCACATACAGAAATGAGAGACCACATTAAAAATTTAATGTGATTACTTTATCTTTTAAGAATATGTTAGAAAGAAGTTCTATTGCATGAGTAACCAGTTTATTCCCTTGGGGAAAAACAGGTAGAAAGGAGTCAGGCTTTCATCACAGAAAAATTGTAAAGCTATTATTTATACAGGGGTTTCTGGAATAGGTATGAAATAAAAATCATATTTTAAATTAATTTCTGGTTCTAGGTAATGGACTGATTCAAACCACATAATGGGGCTCAGGAAAATTCATCCATGGCATTTAGTAAATTTGGAACCAATCCTATGACTTCTCTACACTAACAGAAGAATGGTGAATATTGTAATTCAGATTTTTAAAAGCATTTAATGAGTTTGCAAAGTCAAAATGAAATATTGAAATGCCAATATCATGAATATGGCAATGTCTAGATAGACTAATAAATTAGGATACAGATTTATTTATGCATGTCTTCAATTACAAATAATTTTGCAAATTAGGAAGAATATTCAAAAATAGGTCTGAGATTTCTCTTCTAATAGCCAGACTTGGGGTAGATCAAAACACCGGAAATTAGTCAGAGAAAATAGCACGATAAGAAAATGTAGAAGTAAATAGAGATTATTTCCTTTCCTTTTAAAAGGAAAACATGGACAATACTTTTTTTTTTTGAGGAAACGAACAAAATAGTAACCTTTATTAGGTGGAAATGTCTTGATATGTCCTACACAAGAAAGGAAAACGAGTCATTGCTGTAAAATATTTGCAGACATTGTTCTAAAATGCAATATATCTCGAGAGACTTAAGATTTTACATGTCACAGATCATACCCCAGCTAACACTACTTAAATTATTTTTTCTGGAGTGGATACACTTCCTTGCAGTGTGTGTTACTGTTGTTAATCATTTTATTGACTGAAGTTCATCCCTGTGCAAAGGATCTGTCCAACATCCATGGAGAGAAATTAAAACTTGTTCCTGCAAACACTTAAGCATCTGCTTATTTTTGCATGAGTAAGGAGCTCTTTTCAATTTTAGCAGGCTTGCTGATGTGTATAGACTTCAGCGTTCATAAATGTTTCATAGCATCACTGTTGAGAAAGACTGTGTTCCAAATGTGCGGCACACTCATCCTGTACTAGCCCTCAGTGTAATTGTGCATTTGCATTAGGTAAGCTGTTTCTTCTGCCGAAATACAAAAAAAGCCAGCTGCTTGATCACCTATTATGAAAAATAAAAATATGTTCCTACCTTCCTTACTTTTGTCTCAGAGGAAACATTTTACTGATATGTAGACCAACAGGCAAAAGGTGCAATACCACTGAAAGCAGTGGAGCTGTAACTGATAAAACTAATACTGGTACCAGGCTGCAGACTTTGTTGCAGCGCTACTGCATAAGTTATTGCTTGAATAGAAACTGCATGTTTAGGCTTTTTCATTTATAAATAAAATAAAAAATAATAAAGATTCAGGGAAACTGGCTTTTCTGTGAAAGATTGTCATTGGAAGAGGGACCAAGAAAAATGAGTTAGGAGGTCTGCTAAAGAAGACAGGTACCTTGATACTGAAGACAGTGTCTGGCTTAAAATAAGGGAAAAGAAAAAGATATAAAATAAAAACCCCTAATTTAAAAAAAAAAATCAAAAAGGAAAGTAATGGAAACACCAGTCTGCTTTAAAGCCAACAAAGAATTTCTAAGTGGTGGTTCCTTTGACTAGAGAGAGGGAGGGAATTGTTGAAATATGAGAAGAAGGGAAAGCAAAGATTGAAGAACAAGAAACGGAAACCATTATATCATTCACTGAAAGAACTTCATATGAAGCTGACATACAAAGGGCAAATTCAAAACCCTATCTCTTTAGCAGCAGAAGTCCTCAGAAGACCTGAAATGATGTAGTTAAAATATTCTTAAAAATGGAACAGAAAACTTTCCAGTAGCGGACAATTCTTCATTTATTTTAATTACATTTCATCTGTCAAGTACGATATAGGTTGTACCCACTGATTGTCCATTAGATATTTTATTTATTCAACAGGAGCATATGTAATTTACTTTTCTAAAAATATGCCTTTCCTCTGAAGCTTTCTTAAAATACACTTGTTTTATTTATTGTTATGTTTTTGGAAATACATGTCCTAAATTGCCTTAGAGCACAATGACATTCCTTTGCTCAATATATTTAACACTCAGTTGGTCACTTGCATTCAATGCTTACTGAAGGAGCTAAATCATGTATAATTTATGTCTTTTACCCTGTCAGTAGAACTTCACTTTGACTATTCACATGTGAAAAATTATTCATTCATCTAAGTATTTTCAAAATTCTCCCTTTAGGTTAGGGGCAGGGAGGTATTTGGAGGGTTGACATTTTTGTGTCTTTTGTTGAAATTACTGACGAAAGGAGCACCTAGAGTAAAAACCTCTGTTTTAGCTTTAAATGGGAACTGCTGTTTATTATACATTTTCCTACAAAGCTCCTGGAAGTATGTGGTAAGAGGGTGGAAACTGCTTTGAAATCCAGAGCCATGCTGACATGCTTCCTGAATAGATGATATGCAAAAAAAAAAACAAAAACAAACCAAACATTTACTTAGGTGTGGTGTTAACTTTTTTACTCTTCTCATCTCTACAAATTCACAGTTTCCCCATTCCCAAAAGAGCTTTTTTCACTCTTGCAAACAATATTTTGTGAAGAGTAACTTTTACATGTTCTGTCTCTAAGGTCACCTCACTGTGCCTTCTCATAAAATTTTTAGAAAACCCAAACACAAACGAAAAACAACAACAACAAAAAACTCCCAAGTGTAAGAGAATAAAATATATCATAATAAATTGTTAGTACCAGTTTAGAATATTGTTCCCTTGGGTGTCTTCAAAAATACAGTAAAAGTACTGTGGAGACATAAAATCAGATTATCTTCAGGATCTATGAACCAGAGCAAGAATCAGGGCCAGATTAAAATGAACAAACAGTGAAGCTGTTCTATCAAGCTTGGCCTGGCACAGACGCCTCCATCAAAAATGAAAGTACAATGGGAAAAACAGAATAAAAAAACGTATTGATTGTTGCAGTGTCTCCTCTTGGGCCCTGAGGCATCTGCTGCACAGAGAACAAATGCTTAGATTTGAATTACCTTCCATTTTTGTGTCTCCTGCTGTAGTCCTGTAAGCTGAATTAAAATTAGCTTTAACCATATTTCTTCTGGTCATTCTTCTTTTTTGTGGGCACAATATGAGATAGATAAGTCAGCATGGTGTACATAGGATCTACCCTCTGTTTCCCAGCTATGGGCAAGGTTCCAGCACAAGGTCCAGGAGGATGACGTGTACCTAAGCCAGCCCATCCTCCATTCCTGCAAGATGGGAGAGTAGAGGTAGCCTGAGAAGACAGAAAGACCTGATTTCCTTGCAGTGTACATAAAGAGGCCTTCTGCAAGAACACAACATCAGTTTCACTTCTCTCCACAGGCTTCAACACACACTGACCAGGTTCCTATAATATTATTTTAATTTCTTAATATTCTAATTTGGAATATGCATGTGTTTGCCAAGGAAAACCATTAACTGCTGGTTTCTGTGTAAATTACATTAAATAGATAAGTAGTTCAAAAATTTGGTTGCCTCAGAAGTATGTTCAGCAAAATCACCGTTAAAGTGACAGCTCTTCTCTCTACCCAGGTTTTTTTAAGACTGAGTAAGATAACAATAAAAATTTTGGTAGAAAACTTTGGTAGGATGAATAAATCCTCTGCTGTGGAAAACATAACCAAGGAAAGATTTCTCATTAACAGAAGACCCCATCTGTGCTATTTGCAAACTCATTGCCCTAGTTTTGTGCATGGGGGCATAGGACTCTGTCTGGCTTCCAAAAAGAAGAGTGTGGCTTCCTGTCAAAAACCACCATGGTGGCATCATCTGCCATTGTTCATTGTTTCCAGGTCCATTGTGAGCATTTTTGCATGTGAATCACTCTCTCTTTTGTATACTTCTTTTATTAATATGATTGTTGTTGCTTTTTGTTTTTTCTCACTGCTGTTTCTAGTAAACTATTCTTATCTCAGCTAATGATCTTTACTTTTAGTGTTTCCAATGCTTAACTCCAAACTGGAGGAGGAAATGGGAAGGAGAGGGGGAACAAGCAAGTGATGTCTAGTTTGGAAGAGTCTTTGTGGAGTCATCAAATTGGGCAGCATCATCCCTAAACCATGATCCACATAAAAATCCTTTTCTATTTCTCCATCATAAATAATGATTCTATGAGTGTTTTCTAATTAATTAAGCCACAGAATATTAGCTTTAAAATCTTCAGCTAGAACTTCAGAACACAAATTTAAATTGAAGACATTCTGCCACTGCCTTGAACTTGACAAACCCTCTATCATTGTTAGATCCCTTGGAAGCAAATAGTTCTGCTTTCTAGAAAAGTGCAGCACATTTTGAGACGCAATTCCCTTTGAGAGCTGCCTTTATACCACTTAGAGGGAGTGTCTGTAAGTTTTTCATCACATTAGCTAAGTATTGAATTGGGTTCTTGTGTTTTCATTTTCTTAATTTGAAATTGAAAATATTTATTGATTGCGTTCAAAAATCTAAAAATAGCGCTTGATTCTATAAAATCTTTTTCTGTTTCTCTTCCCACAATGAAAGTGAATATCTATTTCAGTCCACTGAAGAAGATTGTTTATTTTTTTATAAGTCATAATTTGAAGGACAATTCTTTTGCCTTTTGTATTATATGGATTTACTGTTATATAGAATGAAACTTAAGAAAATATGTGTACTTTTTAATTGCATAGAAATCTTTTCCTATTAGAGATTAAGTACTCAATGTACAGAATGTTCTCTTCACTTGGATTCAAAATTAATAAAAAATAAACTTGCTTGTGACAAATTTTAGTATAAATTCTCTAACTACAAAATTTATTATTCATTTCACAAAGTTTTACTTTGCCTATTTTTTTTTCCTTAGGTGAGGAACTCAGTGGACAGCAGAAAAATCTACAAAAGTGCAAAGTAAGATTTCACATCTACTAACTTTCTAAATCGTCATAGTCTTTTTTCTGTAAGGCCTACAAATTCTTTTGGTTTGGATTTCCTGTTATAAACCACAAATACCTTTCTAATTAGCAATTTTTATTAAATCTTGGAAAGCGTATCCTGTTTGAAATTCAAATTTCTCCTAGTCATAAAATAGAACATAATTATTGAATCAGTAGACTATGTAATAAATGCATAGATACCTCCTAAGGTGTGGGAGTAAGATCATAGATCAGATTTTGAAGTTTTGGAAAAAAAGTCTGGTTGCTTCAGCATGGTTGCTAAATTGCGCTATGAATTAAATAGAAATTTAGTAAATGCATTGAATGATTAGCAAAAGCAACTAAAAAGGGTACTGTGGATTTCTAGCCTTCTGTTTTGTGTACTATCTCACACTGGCCTTTGTACCAGGAATTATACTTACCTATAAAGGCTGAGTAAGACTGGACAGCAATACACTGATTGTTGTAAATATTCTGCAAGGTATAGCTATATGAGAAAGGGGTGCCAAGCTTTTATTACTTTTTCTACCTACTTTGTATAAGGTAATATGTTTTCTAAGTACATATGACCTGACCTCTCTTTTTAATGAGTAAGGTAGGGCATAAACTGAAGTATGTCAGTCCCCAGTGATAAATGATTTATGACAAGTAAAGTATCACAGAAAAATTGGGATTATTTTATATGTGTACAGGAAGTTTGGCAATTTATATTACATTCTATATACTATAAAATATATGTATGACAATGTATAGGAAATTTGGTGGTGTTGGTCACACTATAAAAGCTCAATTATTTCTGTAATCATGGGTAATCTTCAAGTTTCACACCTTAACCTAATAAATTTACAACTGTGACAGAAAAGCTGAAAAAGCTAGCGAGAATAATACCACTTATATACCTGGGATTGTTAAGCTATTTAGAGGACAATTAATAATATGTGGGTAAATATAGAAGAATACTAAGATGATTCTGTGAGTGAGTAATAGTCAGGTGAAAGTCAGCATGCAGGAAATGTGAATTTATACTTCTTGAGAAAAGCAGTCCTAATATCACAAGCACTCATAATTTGAAAGTGATTATTTTTCATCCTGAGTTAGATAGCTCATTTTTAAAGTAAATAAAGCAACATGAAAAAGAGGGCAAGATGAGGAGCATGACAAAAAGGGTGGATCAAAAATAGTAAGGCAGTGAATGTGAGTAAGGACTACATATCTAACATGCTTCAGTCTGGAAGAGACATAAACTGAGGAAACCATAGAGAAGTTTATAGAAATAATGTCTGGGGTGTAAAGAGTAAAAGAAGAAACCAATCATTCATATTTTATGCCAGTACTAAAACCAAAGTCTGAAAAAATGGAAGTAAAGTTAAGAATAAATGCAGCTTGTAGAGAAAATCTGAAACTTCTTGCAGAAAGTTATTTGGGATTAAAAATATACCATAGTCTCGAGGAAGAAAAGTCCCATAAATATGTAAATACATTGATAATCCCTCTAGCTTCAGAAACTCCTTAAGGAGTAGTCATGTGAATACATGCCTAAGGGTAGTAATACTATAAAATTGTACTGTTCTTACATTTCCCAAAATTTCCTTTATTAGCTACTTGATACCCCAGGGGCGCTATTGAATTATAAATTTGACCATTATTGCTTTTATGCTACTGCTTATAGAATATGATACCAACTGGAAAGCAACACAAAAATATAGGTAGGGAGTTAAATAAGTTATCAGACACACACCTTAGCCTCTCTCTAGCCTCCCTGTTTTTATGGATTCTTTATGGTTTATTTCACTCTCAGTCTTGTGTTAAATGACAGTGACAATACCAGAAGTCCAGAAAAAACTTGTTAGGTATGAAGTTCCAGCAGAATTCATCTTTGCTTAGGTAAATCATATCACATAATCCCAGCAAATACAAACTATGTTCTGTACCAGCCTCAATGGAGGGAGAGATTCTAAACCATAAGAGACTTAGTGAAATTAAGCCAGAATTTTCTTCTCAGATATTCCTCACTAAGAAGTTTACAGACAATAATATGGAGTGAAAAGAATAAAGGATAATTAGGAAAACTGAACATACCAAGTAAGAAAGGTTGTTGTGCTTCTAGGAAAAAACTGGAATTTATGATTATGACAAGATAAAAATATAAAAAATAACAGATTAACGGGATTAGGCAATTCAACTAAGAAATACCTCTGTGTTCAAAATTCAACTGGTACTATGTTTGAGTAGAAAAGTAATTATTTAAAGTCTTCTCTTAGGAAAATGTCTAAGAATTGGATTTTTTTTTTTTTAAGCGGGAGACTCATATGTTTTTCATCTTTTTGGGGGGGTTTCTTTTTCTTGGCTTGTTTTTTTAATTGTGGAAAGAAGTAAATATTAAAAATCATAGAATGAAAACAGTGGGTAACATGGGAGAAGCTATTCTTCCCGCAGTCATCAACACCTATCATTCTTTTTTATTTTTATTTTCCCTATTGGCATTAGCCAGATAAGTTTCTGTTCTTTCTGGCTTATATGTTGATAAGGGATTGATGGGCACACATATCACTATAGTCCTGGACAGGCGCTGCCCAAGGTCTGTGTTTATCTGCAGAGGTGCTACTTAACAGCATCACCCTTGATCAGTACAAGGTATTATTTTAAAATATTCCCTCTATCTCTCTGTCTTTTATGTTTCAAGCCAGAAAGAAATAACAGAGACAAAGACTGAAACAGAGTGTCTAGAGCTAATTGACTAGCATATTTAAAGTGGGTTGTGGTTGCTTAGAAACATTTATAGACTGTAACCGAAGCTTCATTATTAAATAGTCTGCAGGGCAATGTAGGACAACATGTTTTTACAAGAGCAAGATCCACAGAGAAAGATGGTTTGTAGCTTAATATTGAAAGGAAACATATTTACAAATATTTTTTTTACATTTTATTTTTAAGTCCAATTAAACAAAATTATTGAAAAAAATTTATCAACACTTATGTCAGTGCTGTAAACTGAAATTCAGTGTCATGACAACTTGCTATTTATTCTGCAAGGCCCTCTGTTAATTCCAGAAGTAGTTATTTCTACGTGGCTCCCCTTGAGAGTAGGCAATTTATTTATTACAGTAAAGTGCATATTATATAGGAAGAATCTGATTTTGAAGATCAAAGGACAATGAGATGTGTAAAGTGCAGCAATCTTTGATTATACAACAATATTGTGTAACAATGTTATAACAAAAATCTGGAAGGGAGGGCATACTCGAAGTCTGAGCTCTGTAGAAGGGAAGGCAAACAATATATGCTACAAACATAGTGGTATTTCCAAGGCAGAAGTCATATGAAAAGTATGTAAAATAACCTATAAACTATATTTGTCAGTTGAAATCTCGTTAGCTAATTATTTATTTCAAAAAGACCCATAAATAATGCTTATGGAGTCATTTGTTTTAGGATCCTTCATGACAAAAAAATGTTCAGTCTTTCTAAAGCACATTTTAAATTTCTTCACAAAACATTAGTGAAATGTCAGGGAATTTTTAAGGTAATGCATTTTTATTTTCCTGCTACATATGAAACCTTTCATACTTCTGTTGCAGCCATGAAGTCACTTAAAACATTGAGTCATGTATCTCATAAAAACTGACAGGTTTCTAGGAAATTTTTGTCTTTCCTGAATCCAAGCAAAATTACTATGCAAATTGTATGATGAGAGGAATTCTGTCCTATCTAGTTGAAATCTAGATTTAGATTTAGTTGAAGTTTAGTCAATAAAAACTATAAATCATAGAAACATTATAGGAAGTCTGGCCTGTGCATGAATTAGCAAAAAAAGATAGTGGTTTAAGAGAGATATTTTTACTATGCAAATTAGTTCTATGCATTGAATTATTTCTACTTACAAAAGTTCTAATTGTTCCAGAACAAAATACTATCCATTAATACACATACAACTATATATATATATATATATAAAGGTAAAATGAACGAATAATAAAAAAGTACCATAAATTAATGAATCAGAAGTTTCAGTGTTTAAAACATATGTTACTAGGTTGTCACAGTAAATGTGATTCTTCCAGCTTTCTTAGTTATCTATCTTGAGAAGACATTAGAAATTATGAAAAATATTTAGTAGGTTACTGATCAAGACTAATCTCTTCTGGTTACTTCTTGAGTTAAGATTGTCTAGAATTAATCAGATTTCTGAGCCCTGTAGACTTCTTGTACAGACTTACCTTTACCAACACTATTAACCCATAAAATGACTGATGAAATTCTCATCATATGAAACTCTGCCCCATGTATAATAAAATGCTGTCCCCTATATAAAGTGAAACACTGAAAATTGGAATTGAAAACATCATCCAATCTTTCTATTAAATTCAATCATTATTTTTTGCCATGTTATATCAACAATATTCAGAAGAAAATTATACTATTCAATACTGTAGTACATCCTTAACAAATATTAATAAAATAAATAACAATGCAAGGTTTATCTTTTTTTCATGCAGATTAAATATTTTTTTCATTTTATTAATTAATGGAAAGACATTAAGTGAAACTATTATTGGAAAAGATATATTCAGGAGCTCTATTTAGAACATTTTCAGCTTAAAAGCTATTACACCTCAGGACAGTGTTAAAGGAAATGGGCATGACTTTTTCAAGCCCAATGAGTCATAAGGGATCTTTTTGGCTTGAAAAAAAGTTAATATTTTTGAGAAAAGGTAAGCAGTTGTTGCAACTCACTGAGACATAAACCTGTCATCAAATATTTAAGAAGGCAGAATCAGACTTATAATTTTATATAATTTACTTACTACTTTCACGTTCAAATCTACAGTGAAGAAGATCATAGATAAAACTGGTAATATTTACTAGAGAAATTATCAGGCTCCCAAGATTACAGGACTGGGCTATCTAACAGCTACCAAAGAGAAAAAACTCTTCAAGTAGCCTCTGTAATTTTATACCTACCATGTGTTAATG